TTTCTAAGATATTTTACTTTAATAAATATGTCTACACACACAGTCAAATAGGAAAATAGTTTTATATATTTATTATTTCGATGTATTGAGAGATTTAATAAATAGCTGTGCATTCTTCAAGTCAAATATAGAAGTATTGAAATGCTTTTTTTTTATTAGTTATTTCTTCATATGTTAATTTACTACCATTAACAGTTGAATTATTAACAAGAAGTATGTGCTACTGGTACTAATCTAGACTGAATATTTCAATATGTTACTTGGTGCAAAATGCATCTTGATAAAAGTTAAGTGGGCTCATTAATTTTACTATTGCGTATTTGCAATGCTCTATTGAATAAAAATAGAAATGTGCAAAAGTCGTAGAATCTAGTAAAGATAAGATAATTAGTCACATTACTAATATTCTATACTAAACATCATGAAAATTTAATGGGTTACATAAAAAAATCAGTGATGCTTATATTCTCTATATAATGTCAAACTATACTCTATAACATAAGATTTCATTGAGTTTATTATATGACATTTATTGTTCTATCAACTGATATGTGACACTTCTTTCAAAATTAAATACCATGAAAATAAGTTATCGATAAGACAATAGAAGAATAAAAATGAAAATTGTCATATATAAAGATTCAAAAATTCTTCTCAATTGGAGAGAAGATATTTTATTTTAATTATAATTATCATTCATTATGAACATTTTCGTAATAAACTTGAATAAAACAAGTTTATAATCATTGTATACAGATCAGCACTTAAGAAAATACGTGACATCAGAGAGAATCGAACTGGTACTAACGAAGGAGATGACCTATTATTTAAAAGTCAGAGACATTTTTACTGAGTAATTCACATTCCTACAGTATAATATTGTCAAGAAAGTGAAATAAATGAATTTTAATCAGAGATTTTCTCTACCATTATGAGAGTTTCGTGATATTTTCAAGAAAAATAAGTGTCTCATTCTCGAGATATTGAGGTTAGAAGCATGATCACTTCTTTACAGAAATGATAGACTTGTTTAATGTAATTATAAATTCAATGCATGAAAAAGGTCATATCCTATTCTCTTGAAAATGTCAACAAACTCTAATCATAACTTAATTTATTAGTAGATTAAATCTTAGATTAAAATTCATTTATTCGAGAATCTTGATTATCTCATGATGTATGAAATCTAATTCTCAATAAAAACGTTCCTAACTTTTGAACACTAGGTCAGACACACGAACTCTGTTGACCTTTCCTTAGTCTTATCGAATTACATTTTACAGGCTAAATATGAACTTAAAAGCAAGAAATCAGTTTTAGTTTAGTTTATTATACTCTCATTTTTCGATATAGGATGAACACAAAGAAAATATAATGAAGGAAAAAAAAAGAATAAAGCACGAGAAATAATGTAAAAGGATGCCAAATTAATCGGTTGCTGAGTGTTCAGTTCGTTCATCGCAAAGACCTAATATTAAAGCATATTATTCGAGTGCGATCAATAACAGACCTAGTTTCGGTCGTGTCCATCAAGAATCGGGACTGGCTCGAGGTAAGAAGAGAAAATCAGTTACGATATTTCTCTTGTAAGAGGATACAAAATAACATTACCTCGAAAAACATTAAAACATATGTGCAAATCACAAAATGTTTAGATATCTGGTAGAACATAATTATCTCAAGACTTAAAAACTGTTATGTAGAGAAAGCATCACAATAATAATCTGTAGAATAGTTTGGATATAAACATATATTAATGTAAGTTTATTATTGTCGAAATATCATCAACAACAAACACAAGATCATTCAAATTATTTGAGGAATAACTTTCTTCAACAGTGAAAGACTATACCAACATGATTCTCACATTTATTAAAATACCTGGCTAAGTTATTTGAGAAATAAAAAGTATGTATTATAGAAGATCCTTTTATTAATTATCAAATAGACACAATTTATTATGATTTCTATTGAATACTCATGAGAGAAAAAAACATGATAGAACATAATTTAAATAAGTTTAACAAAGTTAAGATTTTATGTAAAATGTATTTAAATAAGTAAAACTGAAGAAACATTCATCATACATCCATGTTGATTGATTTATTCTTATTCAAAATTAGTATTATTAGAAAGGCAGTAGGACTTACATAATAAATATAGGATAGATGCTGCTTTTTATATTGCTTTTGTTTTTATATATAAAGTCATAGCTTTTGAAGAGATCAAGATATATTAGAAATTTAATGGAAATTTCTGGAATTTGCTAAGGCATGATGAGAAGCGAATTTGGCAAGAATTTTCTATAATTACTCGGACACTACAAAAATTACAGAAATTTCTTTAATTCCCCTGTTTTCTCAATTAATACCAAAAATTCTTATGGTTCTTGGATAGAATTCTCTATTTTTACACATTTAGTTCTTAATCTATATACATCAAAAGGCAAAAGGAATTATGAAAATTTCCATAATTTTCTGATAATTACCGAAAAATTCCTTCAAAAATTGGCTTGAAACTTCTTTTTCATGTTACAATTTTCTTCAAAACTCCGTGAATAATTTATTCTGATGTAATGATAATTATCATTACATACCTGATATTCATTACTTGGTTCTTATTATTTTTCATAATTTCTCAATTTTCATGTTTTGGTAAATTTCTGTGATATTTTGTCTATGGATAGTTCCGTATACTTTGCAAGAATTTTTAGTAAAGATGTAATCGTCACGAAATCTTTTTCCTCTCAATAATTACTTTTGGATGTATATTGATATCTTGATTTCAGAATGTTAGCAAAAGAACTGATTTATCTTGAATAAAGATAAAATTTATCGTCATGATCATGTTTTAGTAAAACCAAGAAAAAAAAACAAAGATTCTTTTTGGATCATCTTTTGTTTTTCCAAAACTGTAATCTTAGACTAATGAGATTACGATTTCAACCGAAGATTTGTAGTAATAAACTATAACACAAATTGACTTCATGTAGCATTGAGAAAATACTTAATATTATGAATAAAAGTGAAAAATATTTTTAAAAACTCTTTGTTTTTTGAAACTTTATTAATGAAAAGTTGAAAATTTTTCAACAGCAAGCCTATTCATTTTTTTCTCTAATGATTCTATATTTCATGGTGCAATGCAATATTTATTGAAGACTTCATTAGGAATATCACGCATTTAAAAAAAAACCAAATAAAATAAGTCTTTCATTATGATGTTCTTTGATTTTGAGAAAAGATTAGTATGACTGATGTAACGTATTGTTTCTATTCAGCTTACTTTCTTGTTGTTTTTTTTCTAAACTTTGCGAAGTTTTACTTCATTCAGACAAACAAGCTACTTGAATTAATAATATATTGTAAAAACTTCTTAGAAAAGGTCTTGATGATATTTATTTTCAAATTGACAGAAAAGGATTTAATCTGATAAATAAATACAATGTTGAATAATTTATCTTTGTATCTTACATAGGTAAATCATTAGAAGGAATACTTTATGATAATCTCTATATGTAGCTGTTCGGTAGTTAATAAAAACTTTATAATAATTAATGCTACAACATCAAAATGTAAACTTGAATTCTTTCATTCGAATAGAATTATATTTAACAAAACAACACGCACAATTACTTTTGAAGTCAAGCTTTTCTAGCCTAACAATGAAATTTTTTTCATATATACATTCATTTTATTTTAAAGCTTCTGCAATGTACTCGAAACTAAAGAGATTGATAATAGTCAGTTACAAAACTTATTTAAATCTGTAAATTGCAATATTTGAGATAAAAGAAAGATTCAGACCATTCCATAAAGAAATACCTGAGTACAAACTTCCAAACAAGTTATAAAATTCTATAATAATAGAATCCTGATGCTGTAGAAAATCACATGAAATAATTTCTATAGATAATGAGATGTCATAAAAAAACATTCATAGATTTATCTTTATTAGCAGACGACCAATCCAGAAGAAAGAGGTGTTCAGTTTTCTTTTTTAGAAAGAATTTCTTTTCTTTCTTATATAGAACGAGAAAATTTTTCAGCTTGACTGCAAAAGAACGAGCATGTATCATGGCGAAAGGATTATTATACTCGATAATCTGATGTCGACATCGTTGACTAAACTTTAAAAAAAAGAAAAGATGAATGAATTCGAATGAGTTAGAAATAACATGAAAGTATATATGAATTTCATCTACACAATGATTTAATATCTAAATTGAATATATTGAAATTAAAATTGACTTGAAGAGTTCTTCAGAAAATATTTGTGTGATAAAATAAAATGTCTTAGTTTTTTTTCATCAATAGATGTCAGTGGATAATATTAAAATCCTAAAAGAAAAGTAAGTTGTTGATGGCGATGAACAAACAAATGAGATAAAAGTATAATGTCAGTTTAGTTATTCATTATAATCTATAATATGTTGATGTAGTAAACGCCTGGTTTTTTTTTTTCCTTTATCTTTTTTTCTAAGTTAAAAACTATTTTTATCTTTGCATACACTGACATTTTTTTTTTAAAATAAAAAGAGAACGGACGGATAGATGAGATTATAATGGATGTATGATATGTTAATTTCACAAGTGAAATGTTGGAAAGAGAATAAGGCGGAATTATGGTCAAAAACACATTGTGAAGTTGATTAGAGGTAATATCAATTCATTTTTGAGTCTCTTATTTGGATGAATAAATCGAAATAGAATCTTTCAGAATATAGAAATAATTATTCTCTATTAAATCCAAGAATAGTTTGCTTTCTAATCTGATAAATGTCCTGCAAGAAATAAAAAAGAACAAATCTGATCTGTTATAATCGATGTTTCTGTTTATTGTCAATGTCATAAGTAGTTAAATGAAGAAACGAAAAAGAAAAGTAGAGCGATTGTCAAGTTCATTAGTTTGATGTATTTCTCTTTAGATTATATATCTCGTCATGTTTCACAGATTAGTTAGACAAAATTTTTTTCTATTAATATAAACAAATATTAATTATGGCACAACAACAGCAAATTAATGGAAATGGTGCGGCAGATTTAAGTTTAGATGATTCAAAAAAACAAGGAACACGGTAAAAATTTTAATCATTTTATTTGTCTGAAAAGAAAATAACTTTTTTTTTCAAACGAAATTAAGAGATTCTTTATAAAGAGAATTACCATTTACAAATAGATATTGTCGACCTTATACGACAGATTAGAACTTCTTATCATTAAACTAAAACATTTGCCATTTACTTTTCATCGAGTAATTGCGTTTTTCTTTTTTTGATTCGTAAAGTTTACTAATTTTGTTTGATAAAATCTCATTTTTTTTTAATTCTGTTTTTATATATTAACTTAAATATCCGTTTTTGACGTATGAAACGATATAGGAAATAGATTTCTGTTGTTGATGATAATGATAGCTTGTTTTTAAAGAGTTAATTCAAATTCATTTCACTTCCTTATGTTCTTCATGGCCTTTTTCTATTTTGCACTTTTTCTTTGTTATATAGTTCAACAAGTGTTTACTATAATCAAATATAAAATCATACAAAGAAAAAAAAACATTTCCACATAAATATATTTATTGTTAAGCCATAATTACAAATAGATTTCACTATGGATTTAATCAATTTGGTTACTTTACAAAGAAAAAAAAAATTTTCTTCCGCAAAATGATATGTTGAAAATAACCATAGATTTATAGAGAACTGCTTTTTTCCTATTCTTCTTCCTAGTAGAGTTTTTTAATTATCGCAGACTTTACGTTAGTGGCATCTTCTTTTCTCTTCCTTCCAAAAAAAAAAATGTTCTTCTGTCTTCTATTACTACTATTCTATTACTCGTCTAAAAAAAACCTTCAATGAAATAGAAGAATAAGAGAAAAGAATGTTCACGAGTTCTTAGAAATAGAAAAAAGAAAGCAAACGACGCCAAGTCAATATGAGTAATAACGCATGGATACATTATCTTAGTGACTATAGAGAATAATAATGAAACGAGCAAAATGATGGAAATGCGTATATGATTAATTATTGTTCGATTTATTTGTTTTTATCGCATCTAATTATGCTGAACAATTAATATATTTCCTATATGATATCTTATGAAACCGTAAGTTGAAAATAATATAAATCTATAAGTTTATTTCATTTTTATTGGAATTCATTCAAATAGAAAATTCATAGTTTGACAAGTGTAAAATCTTGTTTTTTTTCTTATCAAATTTGTGTGGCTTTTTTCCAGAATTGTTATGTTTATTTGTGAAATATTAATGAAATGAGAATGATGGTGTGACCACAGTATTATATCAATACAAAGAAGAAAAAAAAACCAAAATAGATGAATCTATTCTTTCCTGAGACTATCCATGCTATGCAGATTTATATAGATAGAGGGAGAGAAAGAGATTGAATAATGATAGGCGTCAAATTCTGTTTTTGTTTCGTCATTTTCTAAACACGCATAAAAGCGGAAGTCGAAGCAAAGTGCTATAAAAATAGTGAATGCAATATTTGTTTTTTCCTTTTAACAATGAACATGAATGTTCACTAAAATATTAATAATGAAATTGAAAAAAACAAGAAGATCTTATCTGTTTTTTTTCCTAAATGTTTTTTTTCGTTAAATTATTGAGACATAGAAGAATCAATATATTCATATGACGTCATATCACTTTCATCCGGAAAATGCAGAATTCTTTTCTTTCTCTTGTTGTGTCTTATACCAAGTTGCTAGTAGTGTATTCTTACGACAATGTCTTTTCAATTTGTTCGCTTAGATAGAAAAAGACATATACTACATATAAAGAATTGTTTCTTATGTGAAGGCCAATAGTTTTTTTTTTGCTTCACTATCAACAGATGGATGATAGTTTTTTGTCGTTGATTCCCTATCAATAATTATTAGTTAAAGGACACATTTCTTTCATTATATATTTAGTAACTAAGAATATAGGTTTTGTTTTCCTTTTCTCCTTTTTTTCTACAAATAATGTGTAATGTAACACCAGTGTAAGTAAAATAGAAAATAGATTATCTAATGACATTTATTTATTTTATTTAGAGTCTTCAAGAAAAGTAGTCCTAATTCAAAGGTAATTTTAAATTAAATTAATTTAATTTAATTCTTTTTATTTTCTTTTTTCTTTTGTTTTTTTTTTATTAGATTACATGTTATCTGGGAAAAAGAGATTTTATCGATTATATGGATCATATAGATCCAATTGGTAGGTATTCAAATTTTTAAAAATTTCTTTCATTTTTTTTTAATAAAATTTTTTGTTTAGATGGAGTTGTTCTAATCGATCCTGAATATGTTAAAGATCGTAAAGTATATGCATGTGTATTAGCAGGTATAATATAATTATTATTTATTGATAAATAAATAAATAAATAAATAAATAAAATATTTTTAATAGCATTTCGATATGGTCGAGAAGATCTTGATGTACTTGGTTTAACATTTCGAAAAGATTTATTTTGTTCAACTCAACAAATTTTTCCTCCTATTGATGATCAAAAAAAACCTTTAACTTATTTACAACAACGTCTTTTAAGAAAATTAGGACCAAATGCATATCCATTTTATTTTGAAGTAAATCTTCGTTTGTTTGTTTTTTTATTTTTAATAATAGAAAAAGTAAAATGAATAAATAAATATATTAGATTCCTCAAAATGCTCCAGCTTCAGTAACACTACAACCAGCTGTTGGTGACACGGGAAAACCATGTGGTGTTGATTATGAATTAAAAACTTATGTAGCAGAAGCTAATGAAGATAAATCACATAAACGAAGTTCTGTTCGATTAGCAATTAGAAAATTAACTTATGCACCAGAAATTCCAGCACCACAACCGGTTATTGAAGCACATAAAGATTTTATGATGTCACCTGCACCGTTACATTTAGAATGTACACTTGATAAAGAGGTTGGTTTTTTGTTAATTAAATTCTTTTTTTCTTGTTTTTATTATTGTTTGATTATATTTAGATGTATTATCATGGTGAAAGTATCAATGTTAATGTCGTTGTTACAAATAATTCGAATAAAACTTTACGAAAAATTCGTATTTCTGGTATGTAGAATTTTATTTAAATTTTCATTGAAGTATTTTTTTTTAAAAAAAAAAGTACTTTTTTAATTAAAAAAAAACCAAATATATATATATATTCTAATATAATCGTTAACTGTGTAGTTGTACAAAATGCAGAAATCTGCTTGTACTCATCAACACAGTACAAATGTGATGTAGCTGTACTTGAATCGAGGTAAATTAAAAAAAAAAAAAAGTCGCTCGGTATTGATTTTCTTGTATTTACTTATTGCTTATAAAATAAATGTTCTTGTTGTTGTATTAAATGTTGTATGCTTTAAATATTATATTCTAGTAAAACAATATGCAGAAATATGTATGTTTACCAATGCTCATTACAAATGTACTGTTGCTGAATTGGAAACTGAGTATGCTTCATGCTTATTCATAAAGCTTTTGTTTTTGTTTTTTATGCACAAAAATTTTTTTTAAAATAAAACAAATTGATTTTTTTTTTTATTGTTTTACTTTTTTAGTGAAGGTTTTCCAATAACTCCATGTTCAAATTTAACAAAAGTTTATTCATTAATACCACTTCTAGCAAATAATAAAGATAAAAGAGGTTTAGCATTAGATGGAAAATTAAAACATGAAGATACAAATTTAGCTTCATCGACTATGTAAGTTTTTTATTTTAATTAAAAATAAAAATATTTTATTTTAAAATAGAATACGAAATAATACACCAAAAGAAAATCTTGGAATAATCGTGCAATATAAAGTTAAAGTTAAAATAATTGTTGCTATGGGAGGGTAAATTTATTTCATTTTGATTTGCAAAAAAAAAACATTTTTTTTTTTTTATTCAATAGAGATTTAGCAGTTGAATTACCATTTACATTAACTCATCCAAAACCTCCTCCAACCTCTTCACTATCTCAACAACTTGATCAACAAAATTTTGATGATCAACAACCAATTGATGTACCTGTTGATCATAATTTAATTCAACTTGACACTAAGTTTGAAGAGTTTTTTGTTTTTATTATTAATAAAAATAATTTTTTTTTGTTTTTGTTTTTGTTTAGTTTTGGTAATACTGCTCATGATGATGATTTTATTTTTGAAGAATTTGCTCGAATACGTCTTAAAGGACATGAAGGTGGTCTTGATGATACTGAAGCTTAAATATTTGACTTTTTTTCTTTTGTTCATATTTTTAACAATGCGAATCAGCGTGATTTTTGTCTTTGTTTATTATTCATTATTATTATTTTTTTTTTGTCTTTGTATATACATATTGTTGTTGAATGTATCTATCTTCGTCATTATAAAAACATAAGAAAAGAAAAACAAAAATATAAACACTCCTTGTTATAATGACAAACAAAAATCAATTAACTTATTTCTAGAAGTATATTGTCCTTTAATTACCTTTTCTAGATAAAGTAAAATATACTTTTATATCAATTTAATATTTTAAGAAAATTATTGATGATTAATAACAAGATATAACTCATATATAATGATGATTAATTACTTTTCTTGCTGAAAAACAAATAGCATAATTCCTCTGGGATGAAAATGTGAAACACGATGTAGTTGCTCGTAATAATCACAAAGAGAATTGTTTTATGCTATCTATTCTCGGATACATTTCTTCTCCATCCTTTTACTTAATCTTTCACAAATCCAATAAGCTACTTGAGAAAAATGGTTATTGCAGCAATAAAAAGCGACTGGTATAGAAGAGTCTCTTGACATCCATAAAAGAGAATGAGACAACATATCTGATTGTATAGTAACAAGATGTAAGCAAATGATAAAAATTATTCGAAAAAAAAAAGAATATTATGATGAATCAATAAATGATTAATTATATCTACATTTACTATCTAGAAAAAATACGAACGTTTTATAGATAACGAACTATTTTCAAAGCACATACTGAATATCAATGAGTTTATCTATTATTTCTTATTTGATATTTATCGATGATTAAGTCTCTGTTGATCGTTTACATTAAAGTTAATTATAAATATCTTTGTTTAAATAATGTTATTATAAACGTCGATAAAATAATTTTATTGAATAAAATAGAAAATGTTAATTTGAGGTAAAAAAAAACACCTGAAAGTTATTCTAAAGTTGAATCAGTGCTCATTTTTAATCATAAATATAATATCAAACAGAAAAAAAGGAATTTTTTTAAAATAAAAATATTAATTATATGCAATATCTGGCTTCAATCTAATTTCAATTTATTCGTCGTAGTTACATCAACATTTATTTTCTCTCGACTTCTCAATAGTTTTATTGGAGTCGAATCCATATTATTGGTTTTTTTAATCTCAAACATTATTTAAAACGAATGTAGAATCTATTTTTTTTTAAAAATAGATTTATGCATTTTGCTGAAAGATATACTCGAATTATTGTAATGTTATTTTTCTAGGGACTTGAATAGCTTTTTGCAACGTAATTAATTCGATGATGTTCTTATAAATAAACAACAATAAGAAAATTCTCGAACTATTTTCTGACATCGAATCGAAAAAAAGAAGTCTTAAACAAATAGAATTCAAATTTATATACGGGATTGATGAAATTTATCTATACGAATGAAGAAAAATTTTCTTTAACATGTCTTCATAAATGACGATAATTAAAAACATAAATTTTGAAATTTTATTCAATCTATACATAAGATCAGTAACACTAATAAAAGAGCCTCTTAAACCTAACCAATCAATATGAATGATCATATATAATTTTGATTTTTTCAAAAACAATTCAATTCTTTTCACATTTTGTATCAGTTTAGTTAACTTATATTCAATAAAATTGTCTGAAATGATGCACTCATCTTACAACTACTATGACAATTATACAATCAATCAACATGACGTCTATGAATACAAGAGATTCTTCAAAAATCTATTACTTTTCTATAAAAGAAATAGCTTTGATCTGAAGATCCACTTCAAGAGATAATAACGAATTTGGTCTATCTATCCATCAAAAAGATTTTTTCAAGATAATATACCAATCGTTGAAATATTACGTTGTTTTAGAATTTACGTATGAGTGGAACGAAGAGAAGGGATTATTGCAAGGAACATTCACAAAAAACATTTCATCAATAGATATAACAATAAGATTTTGATAAATAAATTACATAAATTTCAAGAGAGGATGAATTGATTTTGTTATTCTATGAAGAAAATGTCAAAAAATGATAACTCATTTATGAGAGACTTGAAAATTCTTTCTGACATCTTGTTGAAGTTACAAGTCTTGATGCTTATGGTTATTGAATAATCACGTATTTGAGGATGCATTTGTTTTGTCTAAATCAAATAAGAAAACAATCATTTTCTTGCCTTTTATATTATTTAACATATTCCTGATCAAACGCTTAATAATTATTGCTTTCAACAAATTTTCATTCATGTTATTAATCAAATAGATTGCTTTAATAATGTTGATTATATACATTTATTGATGTCAGATCAACTATTCTCGAAGAATAAACTAATAAGAATAATTCAAATACAAATTGAAATACCTAAGATGATATTTTTGTTTTAGATTGATATGAAGAAAAGCTAATTTCAAAGAATTATTTTTATTTTATAAAGATAAAAATAATATCATATTGATCGTTTTCTAAATTTCTTTAATCTATAATGAAGATATCTTAAATGAATTAATCTGATAATAAACAAAAAACATTATTTTACATTTTATCTTTCAATATTTTTGAAAGTTTAGTTCAATCCTTATGTCTATTGTTTCGAATATATTCGTATAAAACTATCTTCTATTAAATAACGAGAGTTAACTTTTCAAATGACATTTAAATCGAAGAAATCTTTAATGAATTTTCTTTTCATATAAAAATCTAAAAATTCTATTTTAAGTAGATAATAGAATTTAAATGTTTATATCTATTTGGAAATTATTTAATTCATAGTTGAAAACTCGATGAAAGATCAATTTACCGAATCATTTATATTCTCTTTCATTAATTTTTGATCTACATTATACAAATGTAGGGCAAGAAAATGAGAATAACAATGTTTTTTTCATTTATTGACAAGCATGATAAATGCTTTTTCTCAATCAAAATATTTTTATCACCATTCACATTTTAATTAAGCAGAACTCTCCTAAAAGCTTTTCTTTATTACAAAAAAAAAACACAAGATCAATATTAACCAATATATTGCACTTTAGAACAAAAAAACATATTGATTTTTCTAAACATATAGACTTGAATATATTAATAGATTGATTTCATTAGTATTTTCTAATATTTTTCTTTCCATTTACCATAACTATACGACAAATAATTTTGATTTATGTCGATCATTAAATGCGAATAAATACAGAAAATGTAATTATCTTATATGTTTGAAAAAAGACTTTAATAAAAATGAAAAGAAACAGTTATCTTTTTTTTATTGAATATTATTCTTCTCCAAACATTAAAATAGAACTTAAAATGTCCAAGATTATTTTATATATTTTCTATAAGTATAAAATAAGAAAACATGACTACAATTCAAAACTACAAAATGAAGGAAATGTAATTATCATATGTCAAATGTATTCTACTAATGAGACATCATCTAAAGATAAACGTCATAGACGACTATTCTAAATAATAATCTAATATTTTGCGTCTTATATATTTAGATTGAACTAATTATTTTTAAACAAAAATAATTCATCTTATCAAACTATCATTGGTATAATAATCAAATCAAATAATATAATCAAATTTATTAAATAATCTATTGAAATAGAAGCATTTATTATGATGATAAACAAAAATAATTTGCATAATTTTCCTTATCAATAGAAAAACTATCAAGAGAACACATTTAATTATTTATTAATTTGTCTCTTAAGATAAAAACTCTTTTATTTTCTTTTTATTATTTTCTATTTTTGGAATAAAAAATAAAAATTATTTTTTGTTTTTATAAATATGAATTCTTTAAATTCGAACACTTTTCATCTTCAACTAAGAAAATAATCAAATTTTCTTCTGTAGATTCACATTAAAACTATATTCAAGAGAATTATTTATATTTTAAATATCAATTACATTATTACATATAAGTTTTTCTTTTTATTCAATTAACAAAAAACATTCTTCTACATTTTCGCATTTCATCAATTTCTTTTTTTTTTGAGTTTATAACACTATCTGTTCCAAAGTATAATGTGCTACATTGTTTTTTGAATAACTTTTCATAGGAACATCATAGAGACTTGCACTTTTTCATCATTCAACAACGAAGATCCGAGGTTATCGGACTATATCGAAATTAGATTAGTCAGAAATTGACCAATCAGATGAGTTTTTTATGGAGATTTTCCGAGACAATATTCTGAAGTTAGTCTCACTTCGATTTAGAATTTTAATAGAATTAATCGATAGAAAAAATTCTACTGTTTCGATCTACGCAAGGCTGACATTCCTAGCTTGTTCTGTTCGAGAGTTATAAGAATTTTCTTGAGAGATCCAATTAGTTGAAATCAGGGGTTTCAAGAGAAGTCTTATAACTCCTAAATGAAACAACTTAGAAATGTCGACCTTCTGTAAGTCAAAAGAGGACGAATCTTTTCTATTGATTAGTTCTATTAAAAGTTTAAATCGAAAGTAAAAATAGCTTGAGAATATCATTTTCGAAATTCTTTATTAAGAGGTCTCCTACAGATCAATCAAATTTCGATGGTTCCGGTTCTTTTCTTTCGAATGATAAAAATTGCAGATCTCTATGATGTTCCTATCAAAATTTATTCAAAAAAACAGTGAAATAAATTACATATTGAAATGGATAGTAATTCGAAAACATCTTTTGAAAATTTCTAGAATGACGCAGATAATAAAAGTTAAGAGTTTATGTTGGTACGAGTTTCATTATGTCAAAGATTTCATCAATCATATTCTACGAAAAATATGACTATTCATTTATCGAATATGATTGCAACTCAAGAAATTTGAATATCGAGAAAAATAAAAATTTTAATTTTGGATAACATCAATAATTGACGACAGTGTAGAAATAAGTCTGCTTCCATGTGAAAATACTTTCAAGATTTTTGATATAGTGACACTGATTTCAAACAATTTATATATTTTGACAAATTTTGAAATTTTAACAAATTATGAT